TGATCTTCAGAAATCATTCTAATATGCTGATTTATTATTAGAATTATCAACAGTTGTGCAGCCAAATATTTTTAAGTTACGCCTTCTTTCTTTGCGTGAATATTTGGGCGGCGTTATGCAAATCTTCTCACATCGTGACGTAGACATGTGGGGTGTGTTAGAACGAGCCGTTTTAGGTAGGCTTGGTTGACTCTTAACTTTTATAAAGAATATCTCTTTGGATTTGAGACTTTAGTCTTTGCAACTTTACAGATCTTCTTTATGCACCAAGAGCTTGTAACACTTCAAAGAGAAAGGAAAAATTGAAATCGCATCATATGACCCCTTTAAATGTTAAATCATTTATTAGTTTGAAATAATATAATCTACTAATATAATCTAGCTTCTACTTAAATGTTTATTGCATTCTATTTAAATTCTACTTAAATAGATAAAATACACGAAATATATATAACTAATTGTAGAACTTATAATTTGTTTTTATATACTTCCAGTCCTCGGGACCCACTGCTCCGCACATTTTGTATATCTCCCTTATTTAACGCACCTGATTCAGATCATCAGCTCATTAAGAGAGAGATCCATGAACTGAACCGAGTGTGTCAGATAAGAGACACGTACAAAATGTGCAGAGCACTGAGTCCTGAGAACCTCCGTTTTAAATAATTATATATAATTAATATAATTATATATTATAATTATATTGATTACATGATAAACCATTTTTTATTATAATGATATCAAATATATTATATAATTTTAATATAATAATACTTTTTATAAGAAGAGTTTTTGTTTTTTTACTACATAATTCCCATATTTCCAGTTGTGTTTTTATTATTATTATATTATTATTTCTAAGTTCCATATTTTATGATGACTAGTCTAAACTGTCCAAACATTTGCCTGTAGTGCACAGTAAGCACTTATAAGAGCACTTAATAATGTGTTAGGCCAGAGATATGAGAACTTCTGTCTCTCTTTACTGAAGTCCGTGTGACACACAGACAGCATTAGATCGAGAGATGCTCACCTTGAATTTGTTGTGATGGTTGTCAGGGATGATCTCTTTATCGGGACAGCTACAGCAGCTCCCCATGGCGCCTTTAACACACCATCGGACCCCTGCGCAAAAGATATATAAGGGGCGACAATATGGAAAGAGAAACAGATGAGAAGGGGAAGTACAGGGGAGAGAAAGTAACACTTCAGAAACATCAGACAGTCGTGTGTTTATTTAGAGATTGATATCATCTTAAAGCCAAAATATCCACCCAGTCCTATACGTGTCCTGTTTCTGTAGACGTGTGTTTGCTCTGATGGTCCAGCAGAGAGCGCTGCAGTGCTCACCTACATCCAGCCATCAATGATTCTGCTCGTCTCCACACACACCGGAGTCACAGATCAACATCACACCTCCAGCGGGACAGAGAGCCACTTCCTGTGGACCAAAACACACACAAAACTAACTTAGAGACTCGTTTTGTTGCACATTTTAAACCACATGTTTCTACTGAATAGATGAGAGAAATTATATATACAATAACTACAATAAATAGATATAACTCAAAATCATTTATTTTATATTAAATATAATAAATACATATATTTATTTATTATATATAATGCACTGGTTCAGCTGGCCAATCAGAGCAGACTGTGCTTGTCAAAGGAGGGGGCTTTGTTGAAAACGACGTGTTTGAGAGAGGCGGGGCATAGAGGACCTACAATAATGTACAGTATTTTAAAAATAATGTGTTTTTTGAACATTAAAGCATGTCAACATATTCTGTTACACCAAACACACAAAATAATGATCTTTAAAATAGCATCATATGACCCCTTTAAAGTAAACCCAATTTTTTCCCCCAGTGTAGATGATTTAAATCAAGCATATGCAAAGACCGGATTCTGACTCGAGTCCCACAGCCGCCCTGCGCACGTTCATAATTCATGCACACATTCATGCAAAAAAGGCAACGGATGATATGAATCTGCAGCATGACCTGCAGCTCAGTTCATTATGGCCACTCATGAGGATGAAACGTGAATAAATCATGAGCTCCAGTAAAGCTGCTCTAGTTTCTTCCTGCAGGAAACAAACGGCTCGCTCGCTCAGATATCAGATGTTACACATGCTAAAAATGATTTACTACACCACACACGCTACAAACACACTCGAGTCTGGACAGCATGTTACATCGTCACTCCTCCTTTATGTGAAATGATCAGTCAGCGGCAGCGCTTCGTTTGTCTTCTATATTTCATGAGTGAAGGATGTAGGGCGCAGCATGCAGGGAATTTCAAAGGAAATGTGTCCCACCTGTAGGGTTGGGTACCGTTCACATTTGAACAGAGTAATTCTCTGAGTAATTACAAAAACACTTATTTCAGTGAAAAAATAAGTCCAAAAGTCTCAATTTCAACATTTTGAACAATAGGGCCCTACAAACTTTTTCTTAGAAAAAGTAACCACACTTCAGAACATTTCAGCTTGCCCTGTGTGTTGTTTGAATGAGTTGCAGGGGTGACATCACGTCACAGGGTCTCTTTCTCTCGCTGTAGCGTATGCGCCCAGATGCGTTCTCAGGTACCGAAATTTGGCACCGATTGATTTAACGTGAATCGGTACTCGGTAGTACCGACGCAATTCGGTCGGTACCCTTAAAAGTACCGAGTTCCGGTACCCAACCCTACCCACCTGTGCAGGTATGAGGAGGTCATGTGACCACAGCCCACGTCCTGCTCACATTCCATCAGTTTAACATCCATCAACCAGAACAACTCGTGCAAAAATCACACCACACTTCAGAACATTTCGGCTTGCCCTGTGTGTTGTTTGAACGAGTTGCAGGGGTGACCTCACGTCACAGGGTCTCTTTCTCTCGCTGTAGCGTATGCGCCCAGATGCGTTCTCAGGTACCGAAATTTGGCACCGATTGATTTAACGTGAATCGGTACTCGGTAGTACCGACGCAATTCGGTCGGTACCCTTAAAAGTACCGAGTTCCGGTACCCAACCCTACCCACCTGTGCAGGTATGAGGAGGTCATGTGACCACAGCCCACGTCCTGCTCACATTCCATCAGTTTAACATCCATCAACCAGAACAACTCGTGCAAAAATCACGTTCATTTGTGTGTACAAATCAAAACTTTCAAAACCGTCAGGCGTGTGTGAAACTGCACAACTGACAATGAGATTTTAAGTGAATAACTTTCGGTCAATAAATTTCGTTCAAAGCTATTAGAAAACAAAACACACAAGTTGTATGAACTACTTTCATAATGGTATAAATATTTCAGAAATATATTTTAAATATATAACATTTTATAT